TTTTGATTTTCCATTTTTTATAACAGTTAACATTTTTAAGTAATTTGTAAAATGTTAATATTTATTTTGTTAGCTAAGTTATATATGGAATATTAATTTCGTTTTTAATGTAATTTGGAAACAATGACATTTTATAAAAATAATAAACTAATATAATGATGTGTCATTATACGATTGGAGGACTTAAATCCTACGTGGATGTCCTCAATGGCTTATAGCCTCAACTTTTATATAGTATAGATTGTTTTTAAGAAAGTGGCCACTTTGCAACAGTGTTCACAAATGGTGAAGATGATGTCTACATCCATAGAATGGTCACTGTTCACTACACATATGAAAGAATTTTTGCTATGTAAGGAATTCTTTCAGTCTTTCACTATCCAACATATCCAAATGGCGGAAAACACAATGACTGGTAATTTCGGAATCTATCTTTTACTATGGTTTATGTTAACTTAATTCTTTCGAAGTGGCTCTCGCGTCAGAAATCTACTTAGGCTCAAATAGCCTTTTGTTTTTTTTAAAAAAAAAACAACCAGTTTTTTTAATTACTTCCAGCTTTTAAACTCTCATGACCGGGGCCTGTATAGCATGGGTAATCTTTGAATGGCAAAATTCTAGATCGTACGTCATTGTGTATGTAGTTAAACTTTTCCAAAAATCTTGTATTCAAATATTGGATAATAAGTTGAACAAATAACAAAAAAGCTAAGAACAAACCAGCTACACAGAGTGGCATTATCATAAATTTATAAAAGTATCTCAGGGGTAAAAGCGTGATGCACAGTAAAAGCCAACATTACATAAAAGTATAGCAGTCTCGTAGAGGGAGAAATTTGAAACCGAGTGGCCGTTGCGTTTCAAATCTAACCAGAAAAAGACAAATAGATTCAAACCATTATTTATAATAATTAAAATAAACAAAAGAAAGATAAAATAAAATAAAAAGAAACATTTACGAGAACTTCAAAATCTAAACTCACTCTTCTTCCAAAGAGAGAGAAGTAGAAGAAGAAGAAGAAAAACACGAGAGCGATCTTTGTCTTTATTAGTTCCCTTTTGTCTCCTTTCTCTAACCAATGACGGGGCTTGTGATGGTGACTAAATCCACCGTTGGTTGCGGCGGAGGAGGAGGAGGAGAGAGGAGAAAATCCACCGTTGAGGAGGAAGAGCAGAACCAGCAACTCTCTCTCGTTGAGTTTCTTCTAACAGCTCTGCGTAAATCTGTAATATCTTGCCGCGTCGATGATAACCGTCAAGACGACGTCGTAGGAGGAGGGATCTCCTCAGCCGTCCATCACATGGAGATCGGATGGCCAACAAACGTTAGACACATAACTCACGTGACGTTCGATAGATTCCACGGCTTTCTCGGTCTCCCACACGAGCTTCAAGTCGAGATCCCGTGTCGTGTCCCTAGTGCAAGGTAACTAAAAAGCTTCAGTCTCTGAAACTTGATTTGTAATTATTAGTGTAATTAAGATTAATTAATGATTCTTAATTACATCTTTTTAATGTTCAAAGAATTGGTAGACTGTAACTATACCATTGGTAGAATACTTAACCATTAGAGATTCAGGCATTAACGAATTATTAATTTTTTTATATATATATTACACATTTGCATGAGATATTTAAGTTTTTAGACTTGAATATACTAGATATAGAAAAATTAGACAATTTTTTTTTTTTTTTTTTTTTTTAAATTAGACAAAATTTTTGCTAAATTTTTTTTTTTTTTTGTAGATTTTCACTAAAATTATTGTATGATTCAACATATTTAGATAGACTGTTTAAGTCGATTTGAATTTCAGATTCTAAGCAAAATTTATCGGTTATGACTAATTTGGCGTCTAGGCTCTGCTTAAATCAATTTTTTGAACATTGACGCAGTGTGAGTGTGTTTGGTGTTTCTGCGGAGTCAATGCAATGTTCTTATGACCAGAAAGGAAACAGTGTCCCAACTATTCTATTACTAATGCAGCACAGACTATACTCTCAACAAGGTCTCAAGGTAAGGGAATTGCAAAAACCAAATCAAGATTACACTTTCCATGTTCCTCTTTTTATTAATACTGTTGTATGGATGAAATAGGCTGAAGGGATTTTTAGGATAAACCCCGAGAACAGTCAAGAGGAACATGTGAGAGACCAACTCAACAGAGGTGTTGTTCCTGAGAACATTGATGTGCATTGCTTGGCTGCTCTTATCAAAGCTTGGTTTAGAGAGTTGCCTTGTGGTGTTCTTGATGGTCTTTCTCCTGAGGAGGTTCTTAACTGTAACACTGAGGAGGAATCTGTTGAACTTATAAAGCAGTTGAAGCCTACTGAGTCTGCTTTGCTAAATTGGGCTGTTGATCTTATGGCTGATGTTGTTGAGGAAGAAGAGTTTAATAAGATGAATGCGAGGAATATAGCCATGGTTTTTGCTCCTAATATGACTCAGGTAAGAGCAAACAAACATAACATTGTTTCTTATGCATATAGTTGTTTTAGTACTGACTCATGTATTTTTCTAACTATAGATGACAGATCCATTAACTGCTCTTATGCATGCTGTTCAAGTGATGAACCTGCTTAAGACTCTCATCACTAGAACACTAGCTGAACGTGATGGAACGACAAGCGGATCAGAAGGATATTCACCATCTCACTCATCAAATTCACAAATTGACTCTGATTCTGACAATGCACAAGACATGGAAGTCAGCTGTGAATCACAAGGCACGGATTCAGAATCCGGAGGAGAAGAAGAAGTACAACAACAACAAGAAGAAGAGCACAAAGATGAAGACGATATTGGATCATTAAGCTCAATAGAGAAATGCTTCTTAAGTCAGCTCAACGACAGTGCTAGAGTTTCAAACAGCAGTATGTCTGAAGGCTGGAGCCCAAAATGCTCTCCAGTGGTATCATTCACAGACAACAAAAACAACACTTTAGGCTCAAGCACAAGCGACAAAGTCACTATGGCCGTCTAATTCAAGTCAGTTTTCACGGTGTTCCTGGTAACAATCACATTTGTTTGTAGCTTTCTTTGCTTCTTTTTAAGCTGCTGCGGAGAACAAACAAGAAGGAAGAGAACTGGTTGTGTCTGTAAATCAATACAGAGATTATTGTCCACTTTGTTAGGGTCTTTAGGGATTGTTGGTGGTGCTAAGTCTGATTAGGGTTCAGCATGGGCTGAACCTGTCTAGTGAATGTTGTTGTAGTCCTTACTCCATGTTTGTGTTTTTGTTTGTGTGTGCTGTTTGGTTTGTTGTAGCAAAGATAACTTGATCTCTCTTTTTCTTATATTATTTGAAACAGTGAATCTTTCTTCTAAAGACCAGCACAAGATCATCAATAAAAGTAAAGAGAAAAGTTCAATGAATTTAATGTTAATAAATCATAAAATGTTTACATGAATTTCAATAATGCACATAGATTACAAATTGTTATTTGCAGAGGAAGTTACAGCTTTCGAGTTTTAGGAGTTTAAACTATTCTGTTGACCATTGTTGTTGTTGTCTCTCTTAAGCTGGACTTTCAGTTTCTTACCGCCTAAATGGCGACCATTCATCATGTTAATAGCTTTCTGAGCTGCTGCTTGTGAGTCATAACTAACAAAACCTGCAACCAAAGAAAGATGCATTCACTCTTTACATTTTACTATGACCAAGCTTAATAGCAAAAAACAAACAAACAAAGAGAGCTTTTTACCAAAACACTTGCTTGCACCAGTGGCTTTGTCTACAAAAACCTTGGCGCTCAGAACAATACCAAAAGGCTGAAATGCAGCGGAGAGTTCTTGATCCCCAAACTCACGAGGTATGTTATAGATAAACAGATTCGCACCTTCCGGACCTAAAGAACCAACTTAATGTTTCAGATCTAAGCTATAAAGAAAGAACAAGGTTTCAAGCTTCAACACTAACCTTCGGTTTGAACAATGGAACTCAAACTGATGCCTGGAGGTGTTGTTGACACGCCTCTGTGGGTGATGCCAGGTGATATAGATCCAGGAGAGTTACTCAGAAGGCGAGGACTGATAATCCCTCTAGGATAAGTCAATGGATAAGGGAGACCACGTACAGGGGGAAAACCAGAGCCCAAAGGAAAGTTTCTACGGGCCAAACGAGGTGGCACAGAGTCAGGTGAGGTTCTTTGCAACGTGTTGTTGTTACCTATATTGGGTAATGGAGCTTGGCTCTGTATTGGTGGTAGCATGTAACCATAAGTTCCAGGAGCCTGCTGTGGAAATGAAAAGGAGGGTTTTCTTAGTTTAAGAGTTTTGAAATGAAGCAAATGTTATATAGCTTAGGCTTTGCTTACATGATAACCATAACCATTATATGGTGGAGTATAACCCATGGGTAATGCTCCAAACAATGAGGGATTTGTTGGATCAGAGTTAGCTAATCTAGCCATGTCAGACTGAGCCTTTTGAAGTCTTCTTGTGTGTCTCTCCCTTTCTGTGTCTGCCCATTTCACAACTAAAGGAACAGTTGAACCCTAAGAAGAAAGCAAACAACAAATGATGAGACTAACACACAACACAGGGGAAAAGGTTAAGAGTGTCAACAACTAGCAAAGGCAATCACCTCCATTTTGTGTTTTCCATTGATAGCTTCCATGGCAGAAACAGCTTGTTCTTTGGTCTCATACTTCAGAAAAGCACAACCTAACCAAAACAAAAACAAGGAGGTGGATCAACACTTGGTTAAGTGAAATGGAAACCAAAGATCAGAGAACAGAGATATATGGGTTTAAGACCTTTGCTTGTTTGTTGAGCACCTCTAAGAATCTGTAGATCCTTTATGGTCCCGAACTTGGAGAATAACGAAAGAAGTTCAGCTTCAGAGACATTCTTTGGAAGCATACCAACAAAAAGCTTGTGCTCTGGATTGTAGAACACATTACAATACATCCATCACTTGTAAATAAAGAACAATTACATATAAGCAGTTAGAACAAGAAATGGTCACGTTACCTAGCCTTTCCAATTCACCATCTGCATACTTTACTTGTAACAGACTAGCTGCCTGTGAAACATAGTAAAAAAAAACTAGTCAGAGACTCGATAAAGACCTAAGCTTGATAATCATCCCACAAAGTTAAAAGAAAAACCCGAGTTAACCACACACAAGTGTTGCATTTATTTGGCCACAAAGCATTTTTTGCCAAGATTTTCCAGGCTCTCCTAAGAATAAAAGGATCGAACTAACACTTTTGTCTCAATTAAAGTGGAAAAAACAACTGTTTTAAGCGAGCTCATTGATATCATTTTCTAGAGAATGTCCACCATTTCAAGACAATGACATAAAGATTGACTTTTAATACGAAAGATTCTTATTCTGATTCAGGAAAAAGAAAAAATTGACCTTCACCTAAATTCAGAAAGTAAACGCTTTCGTGGGAAGCATTCATACAAATCAAGAACTGCCTATTCTGGAATTAAATAGAAAAAAAAAACCGAAGTGCAATGCAGTTTCATGGCGGTGTTGAAAATTGAAATTCACGAGATTCTGAAACCTGACTCTGTATAAATTCAATTATTATAAATTACAGAACATCATAATCAACCACATTCAAGCACATCTGAAATGAAAAGGCCAGAAAAATAAAAAAATAAAAAAGAATACCCCAGGTAATGTCTTCTTGTTATGGCAAGTATTGACCAGCTTATCTGCTTCCTCTCTCGATGGACATTGCACAAAACAACATCCTAACATCATCAAGAAAATATTACAAATTAGGGTTTCAAAATTCAAATAAATAACGAGCAATCACAAGAATCACATTCTCCAATTGAAAACTTTAAAAACCTAAAAAGAAAAAAAAAATGAAGGAAGAAGAAAGAGAAACAGAGGATAATAGAAGAAAAAAAAGAAACCTCGAGAAGCGCGTGTGATCTTGTCCTTGATGATGTTGACCTCGTCGACGACAGCGAACTCTTGAAACAATGTAAGAAGCTGAGATTCCGACATGTGTCTCGGTATTTGTCCGACGAACACCTTAACGCTCTCTTCTCGTTCTTCTCCTTCATTCTTCTCTCTATTCTCCTCCGCCATTGTTGTCTCCGTCTCTCTTTCTTCTTCTCTCTCTCTCTCTCTCTGTTGACAAAAACGGTCGTCCCCTTCTCTCTCTCTGTCTTGTCTTCGTCGTCTTCTCCTTCTCTCTCTCTGCAATTTTTTTTGTTTCTAAAGATTATTTATTTTGAAATGAAGGAGGAAAAAAAATTGGTGGAAATTGAGAAGTTGGAATTAAATTAAATGCTGACAAAAAATCGCCCTTACTGTTACGATTAAATTACGGTATTTGCCACTACAGCTGTACAAAGGGAAAGGCGAGAGAGCTTTTATGATGCCAGGGAAAACACTTGGGATTGTTTTGTCTCGTTATGGCAATGCAACACTATTACATAATTACCCTCCCCTTTTACGCCGTATTTGTGTTTCTCTTCCTTTTTTTTTCTTTTAATTCGAAATATATATTGAGTCAAACTTGTAGTTCGGTAGGTGATTCAGTTTAATATGATTTAGTTGACCAAATACTAAAAACTTGACAATAGCTAATATTTGAAACGATATTGATCAGCATAAATATTTTAGAAATTCTCTATGATACAACTAAAAAATTTTTTTAGCATCGATGTAACACATAACGATTAAATAACAAAAAATTTTTATTAATAGGGTAGAATAGTTCTTATACCCTTAATATTAATTAATGTCGATTTAGAATTTAAATGTGAGAAGTAGAATTTGAATGGTGGGTTTAGAATTTTTTAATAATATTTAAAATTGAAATAATAATATTATAAATAGTTTCTAGAATAATTTTTGAATTTCAAAAAAAAAATTTGAAAAATAAGAAAAACTTCAAATTGAAAAACGTATTCTTCAAAAATAATACAAAAAATATTGTTTTATTTTTGTATTTATTAAATAAATATTTATATTTATATATTTAAGTAAATGTAGAAAAGTTTGTTACCTATTTATGAAATCTCTTATGGTTTTTTTTCTTTCTATGATTTTTTAGTCAAAAAATGATTTTATGATATTTTGAAAGTTTTTTTCTAAATATTTTAATGAAATAAATCATAAATATTTTTTTATTAATCTGAAATATTTCTGATATTATGAAATGGTCTAAACTAATCCATAAAAGAAAGTATAGGTTGTGGATAGACAATTTTTACAAAGAGAGAAAGTATAGGTTGTGGATATGACTTAACTTTATCCAGTAAATCAAGGTTCTGAAAACCAAACTAGAGTGATTGGTCAAACCGGTTCGACTATGACTCTTTAGTTTGCCATATATTCTTATATATCGCTATGTATACAAGATCTAAATATTTATTATGAAAAATTAGAACATTTATATATGTGATTATATATATATATATATATATTAAATCAAATTTCAATTTAATTGGTTGAACCGGTCCAACTAGTTAATTATCTACCACATCCAATCTATATCGAATCCGATCTTCAAAACTTTGCGGTAAATAAATCATATGTGAAACAAGTTTGCATCCCACACTTGACTTCTTATCTTTTTTTTTTTTTTGTCAATTACCCTATGTTATATTAAGTGTTGGTTAGACGAGTCGGTCTTTGAGAAATATTTTTATATGATCAGCTTTGATCTATATAAGAAAAATATAGTCTATGATCCTAATATATTTTGCTAACGCCGGCCGTCTGACCATTTCTAGTATGAAGAATATGATACATATTTACATATTCGAAATCCTCATATAATCTCTAAAACATTTCAGTTGTTGTCGCGAATGTTGACCATTCCACCAAGTTTGTAATCATGTCCATTAGGTCTGAGCAGTATCTCAAACAATATCGAAATTATTTCCATGTTTCTTATAAATGAAGTTGTCCAAAATAAACATTTCATCTCAACAAGTAAAACTAAAACATTCCCACTATATGTCCATAGTCCAAAATATTCAAAAGTCATTTGGTCTTTAAAACTCCACCATAAAACACTGATATTGTTATTATGGATCCATGATGAATTAATTTGACAGATTGGAATTGAAGTATTCAAGGAGACACTCTCTCAACCTCTATAGCAAGAGGATCGTCAAGATTTGCATTTGTTTCCTTTTTTAGCCTTTTTCCAATATTAATAAATCATCAATATTTTATATCAACTCGTGTTATATTTTTTTCATTGAAATAGTTTCGGTTTCCATTTATCACTTCTCATATTATATCAAATTAGGTGTTTTAACCGCACTTGTGGACATAATTCTCTTATAAATATTTATTAGTTGATGTTTTATTAATTTAAAACCCAACATAATAAATATTATTTATTTTTTCAAAAAATACAAATGAAACATCAAATAATTATCAATAACAAAATTCAAACATCTGAAATATTTAAAAGAATATATTATTATAATTATTTCTCTTGATTACATTTAATTATAATATGTATACAAATATCTTTACTTAATTTATATTTGATTGTAATTTTTATATCTTAATTTTAAAATTTACAATAGAAAAATCTATTTTCAAGATAACAATATAATGCATATGTTATTTATTTTCTAAAAATATAGTATGATAATTTTTTTTAATTATATACTAATTATATAAAATCATAGAATTTATGACATATAGTTAAAGTTACCTAAAATCATGGCGAACTTAATGAATCAGTAAATTCACTTCTTAAATGTGGAAGCCCCCTTGGTCAGTGGTTTGACTAAGGGTTCATTAATGCTTCTACACCAGCAGGTATGGGGTTCGAATCCTAGAGAACACGGAATTATGCGAATTAATGGAGAAAGACTTACAAGAGATCTGCAGCATGACACAAGGAGTACCGTCAAGCGTGGATCCGATAGGGCGGTTCAGGTGATGCAGTCAGGCGTGCGTGTATCCTCATAAGATAGGTATAGAATTGTCGGCTGTTGAATCGTCTGTAACATTTCTCGTAGTTTATAATGGCATAATTATCCAGTGTTAAAAAAAAAAATCACTTCTTAAATATTTTTTCTTGAATGATGATTTATATCTAATTAATAATAGATGATTTTTATATTTTACTTTTAAATTATATAATATAAAAATATATTTTCAAGATAACAACATAATACATAAGCATTATCTTATTTTATAAAACTATACTATTATTGGTGTAAATTTATTTCAATTATAGAACAGCTACAAATTTTATATCTTAATTTTAAATTTTTAATAGAAAAATATATTTTCAAGACAACAACTTGATACATAAGAAGTATCTTATTTTCTAAAATCTGATACTACTAATATAAATTTGTTTTAAATACATAATAAATTATATATAAAATTATAGAAATTAAGATAAATTATTAAAATTACTTAAAATCATGGAAAATATGAAAAATCAACAAACATCAAATTAACTTCTTAAATAATAGTATAAGAATTAAAATTTTATAATAGAAAAATATATTTTGCAAGATAACGTAATAATACATAAGAATTAACTTAATTTCTAAAATATCATATTATTAATATAAATTATTTTTAATTATATAATCAATAATAAACAAAATTAAAAAAACTCTCATAAATGATCAAAATTACCTAGGATTATGGAGACAAATCAACAAATTCACTTTTCAAATAATTATTTTGATGATTTATATTTAATTATTAATAATATAACTTTTATATCTTAATTTAAAGTTTTATAATACGAAAATATATTTTCAACATAACTACATAATACATATGATTTATCTTATTTTAGAAAAATATAAAATTATTAATATAAATTTATTTTAGTTATATAATAAATATAATATATCTTAATTTAAAAATTAAGTTTTATATATAAAATATATTTTAAGATAACAACATAATTCACATGATTATTTTATTTTCTAAAATATGATATATTCATAGAAATTCATTTTATTTATAAAAAAATTATATATAAATATTAAAAATATGATAACTAAATAAAATTACCTAAATTTATGGAGAACATGACAATTAAGCAAATTTACTTATTAAATAATAGTATAGATTATATATAAATATTAAAAATATGATAAATAAATAAAATTACCTAAACTTATGGAGAACATGACAACTAAACAAATTTACTTATTAAATAATAGTATATATATAAATATTAAAAATATGACAAATAAATAAAATTACTCTCCATGACAACTAAACAAATTAGTTATTAAATAATAGTATAGATGATACCGTTCTAACATAATATTGAAAACTTTTAATGTACTAATAAAAATAGCAGATATTCGCTTAACTTACTATTGAAAACATTTTAAAAGTTTCTGATCTGTTGACAAGAAAAAAAAAAGTTTCCGATCAAAACATTCTTGATCTATCTCGAAAAGAGTTTGACCGCAAATCTCAAATATTTTATTTTACTTTGTTCAACTCTTGTATTCCTCTATAATAATGTAAGAGGATCACAACTGACAGGTCATTGTCCGAGGGAAGATAGTCAGAATGGCAAAACCGTGAATATCTCAAGAATTGAGGGGCAAAACATGAACATGACAGGCTGTCACGCCAACGCGACCCAAAGAAAAACAAAAGACTCTAGCAGCTCCAACTAGCTCCTTTCTCCCACGCCACAAAATTACAAATTGTTTCTTCCCCAACAAACAGACCCCTGTATTCATTCACTTTTTACTTTATGACCTTACAAGTTTTTAAGGTGCATGTTCGTAACTCTTTAGATTGTGTACTTCTTTCAAGAAATAAAAGAAAAAACACACACGGTCCCGCGTATTCTTTGTCTACAACCAACTTCCACCCTAACAAAATCTAATTATTATTTTTTGGTGCTGACAAAAAAAAAAAAAATTATTATTTTTTGGTTTGGATAATTAGTTATTATTCAATTATAAACACAAATTGTATTCTTCATGATAGAGACTAGTATTATTAGAGTGACGCACACTTTGCAATATAGAAATGATTCAAAATAACCACTACGTATTTGGATAATTGCATTTCAATTCAATGTCTATCCATACTAATCAAGGAAAAAATGCATACTTCACATCCAGCGTGGAAGTACCTTTCTTTCTAATAATTCCAAGCCCTTCAATTTGTCAATTAAATAATAGAAGCATATTACAACACTACAAATATATCTATAACAAAAAATTTGGTGGTGAGGAAAACAACTGGAGTAGAACTTAGCTGGAAACGGACAGACTTGGCACGAACTGGTCAGTGGCTACATTTTGTGAAGTCCAGCGAGTGATCTTAGCTTCTCACAGAGTATGAACGTGATCATTGTTTGTGGCCCGAGCCGTGCGAAAATCGTAAAGCCTCTGTGTTAATGAGAAAACAATAAACGAATTTATTAATTTTTATTAAGAAATGTTTTAACTATATTTACCCTCAAGAAATTGTTTCTGTTTCTAACCCTTTGTAAAGTGCCAGTGGGCCTTCTTTGCGAATAACCTGAAGGATGATACAAAGATACACAACATTAACAACATTAACGTCCAACACAAGCAAATCCTATAGTCTATAAAAGAAGGTACCAATATTACATTACCTTGTAACCGCAATGAAACCCGTTTCTATAGATTCTGACGCTTTCAGAGGCTTGCTGCAACATCAAGCGGGTTTTAATCATGTCAATTGGTGCGGTTATCAGAGTGCTTACTACACCTGCAACCATACTTGAGCTTCATTCATCAAGTGATAGACCAAGTTAGTTTCAGCACATTGAAAATAACAATGGAACTCTGGGTCATGGTTGTTAAACTCTCACCACAAATGAAGATGAAACCCTTCTTCCAAAGAAGTTCGTTGAACAAGAATCTGCAATTTACAAGAAACTTAAGGAGCTAGAATGTTAGAAAGCAGCAATATGAGGAATAGCAAGTCTTGGAATATGACCCGCTTGGCTTCATCGTATGTTGCAAGCTGTGAGGCAGTTAATGCTGCAGCTCTAACCATGGCAGGACCAACTCCTTTCCATAAAGCTCCTACACCTTCTTTAGAAACTATCTCTCTCACCTCCGCAATGGGAACTGCTTTTGGATTCATCTGCAACCTTACCTAAACATAAATGAAAAAAAATTGTTAAGCATCTTTTAAAACCAAGAATAAAGCCTAAACTAAACCAATGTTTCATGAAATCATCAACCTTGACAACTTCAACCGGGTTGGTTAATGCAGTGGAAACCGCTCCAGCAAATGCACCTGAAGCTATCTTGACCAAGACATTGGTAGACCCAAACGCCCAATCAAAACAAACCTTAGTGGGTTCATATAACCCTAATCTGAGACCTCCGTAGAGTACTGATCTAGTGAGAGCAGGAGTTAAACCCAAGTATAAAGACCTAGGTCCTTCCTGCTTCATTAGCTGAAGAAAGATTCCCGTCTGAAAAAAACATTACATACTAAAGAGTTAATCTAACATCCCCAATAACATCAAGTTGTTTCATTAGGGACATTATATTACCATTCCGATTAAAGGCCCTCTTCGGCCTACTTGCTGCATCTGCAATCTTACTTTCAATACATCTGGAAAAAGTAAAACACATATATATGATGAGCATGATGGAAGAAAAAACCACTAACACTATCTTCAGTGATATCTACTGATGTAGCAGAAGCTTTTATGGATATAATTAGTGATTTGTTGATTCTGAGAATACCCAGAAAATTATGATAACACAAGGATCTTATTTAGTATAAGAATACCTAACATCAATGTCTTCTTAAATTCGTTGAGATCATCTACCGAAAACAAAGAACAAAAGAGAAATCACGGCTATATATGAGAAAACCTTAAAACCCTAAAAACCCTCAAATAATAAAATATAATTATCTAAATAATTATTAAAATAAATCATAAGATATTTGAAAATCTTCCAAATATTTATCTGCATCATCTTCTCAGTCCCTAACCTTATATTGCCACCACAGCAGTTGAGAGCAAGAACATACAGCTACATTATCCAAAGATGACTATCCTAAGAGGGAACTTCAACTTCCATCACAAGTTGCTTACAAAACCTCCAACAAATTTTCATATCAAAAGAATTCTCATAGAATTATACAAACGACATGTTCTTGTTTCTATTGGAGCCAATGGTTTTTAATTACTAACCCAAAAAAAATGCTGATTGGATCAAAAAAGGCATGAGGAGGAAGGAATCTAACCGAGAGGGTGAGTGACGCCTGTGGCCAACGCGACGGACAATCCGCTAGTTCCGAAATGAGACGCCACCGTTGATAGCGGCGGGAGAAGATTCTTCGGCTTCGCCACTTGCGCATTTCCTTCAACTACTACACACCATTGAAATCTCGATTCAAGCATGATTCAAGATAGTTAACTTGAAACGCATGGAGAGATCAAAAGCATCAAAAAGCAAAATATTCCGACGAACCTGGGATTGAGGCGACCGGCGGGGAAATATTATCTCCGATCATTTGTTACAAAAAAAATTCGTTTTTGCGAAATGGTGCGTCTTCGCTTTGTTTTTTTTTTCACATGCGTCGTGCGAAACGACGTCGGGTTTAGCTAAGATACTTCGCCGGTTATTAATAGCCGTTAGATTATCATAAACAAATCTATACCATTGAATGAAAATTCATCGCAAGGCAAAACGAAAAATTGACTCGCTCGCTGCTACTGTCTCTGTTAAATTATAGATAATCAAATTACATTTAAATTAGTTAGTTATTATACAAAAGTCAAATTACATTTAAATTAGTTAGTTATTATACAAAAGTCGTTACTCTCCGTGTTGTGTCTTTTAGAATGAAAAGATGTGTTTGTACAATTAATAGTTATGTCTTTACAATTAAGAGTTGTATCTTTACAACAATAAGTTGTGTTGTTTCAACACACTTGTTCATTCTCTATAAATATAGATCAAATTTTGTTTCAGAAAATAATTCAACAATTGACTATAATACAATAAAAGTGATATTCTGTTTTTTTCTTTCATAAAACAGAGCAAATTAATTATATTTATATTTCTTTTTCTTCTCTTTCTTATAAATTGTAAACACTCAGAGAATCAACATGTTATCAGACCCTTGCGATTAAAAAACAGAGAAAAATCAATAATTCAACAAAAAAAGAAGAAGAGAGCATTGTCTGTGATATTATTTACAAGTTTCTCATAATCAGAAGATTCTGATATTGAAAATCATAAATTCACGATATTGATAAAAGAGAATTGTCATGATACTGATTACAAATTTCTCATAATCAGAAAACTCTGATATTGATAATCAGAGAAGATATTAATAATCATGACACTGATAATCAGAGAATGTGATATTGACAATCAGGAGAAGTTTGTAATAATGATAATCAAAAGAAAATGATCCCCATCAAAAGAAATCGATGGGGAGAAGTATGACTTTGGAGTATTAAGATGACAACCATTCTCAAGACCATGAAGTTATGGTTTGTGGTTGAAGAAGGTGTGGGAGCCCCACCAGCACAAGTGGATGAAACCCCTGAGACAACAAAGGTAAGATCGCTTAGAGAAGAAATAATGGTAAACGATACCATGGCTTTGCAAATTCTGTAAACTGTTGTATCAGATGATATATTCTCTCGGATTGTAGCAGCAACAACATCTAAAGAGGCGTGTGATACATTGAAAGTATAATATAAAAGTTCTCCTTAAATCCATTTGATTCGACTTCAAAGATTGCGAAAGGAGTATGAAAAACTGAAGATGAATGAGAATGAAGACATCAAGGTCTTCACATATAAGTTAGTTGATTTGACAAATTAATTAACTTATCATGGAGAACAAAAGTCAGACATTCAACTCATATAAAAGATACTCATCTCTCTCCCAGCCAAGTTCAATAGCATAGTCACTATATTGGAGCAAACAAGCGATTTAACTTCAACAAAGATGACAGATTTGATCAAAAATTTGAAGGCTCATGAAGCAAGGTTGGATGTAAGAGAAGAAAGCACAAGTAAAGGAACATTTGATGCTCGTGATAAATAGAAAAAATCTGGTTCAAAAAAGACAACTCAAAACGCCATGGAGGCAAGAAATGTTGTGGTTTCTGCAAGAAGAACAATCACAATAAGAGTGAGTGTTTTAGAAAACAGACCAAGGATGATCCTAAGAAGGATTACAGAAGTAACAAGGAGTGTTATAATTGTGGCAAGTTAGGTTACTTTGCAAATCAGTGCTACTCAAAGAAAAAAGAGAAAGCACACTTAAGTCTCGAAGAAGAAAACTTTAATGAAGATCATATGTTGTTCAGTGCGAGTGAAGCGACAACAATAATGGAAGATGTCTGGTTAGTAGACAGTGGAGCAACCAATCATATGACAAAGGAGGAGAAATACTTCTCAAGCCTTGACAAGAGTGTCAAGGTTTCAATAAAGATTGGAAATGGAAGCATAGTCATGACAGCCGGTAAAGGAGATATTAACGTCATGACTAATGGTGGCAATATGACCATCAGGAATGTATTCTTGGTTCCAGGTATGGCAAAAATTTTGTTGAGTGTTCCACAAATTGTTTCAAGTGGATACCGGGTGAATTTTCAAGAAAAGAGATGCATTATATAGGATGCAAAAGGAATGAGGATAATGAATATTCCAATAACTCACAAGAGCTACAGAATTAGGATGAGTTTGGCTCAGGAAAAAGAAGCTATGAGCGCAAGTGAGCAAAGCAAAATGGAGACATGGCACAAGAGACTTAGTCATGTAGGCGACAAAAGGTTGCAATAAATGCAAGACAAAGACTTGGTAAAGGGATTACCAAAGTTTAAGATCAGGAAGGAAGCATGTGAGGCGTGTAGACTTTGAAATCAATCACGCAAAAGCTTCCCAAAAGAATCTCAAACTAAGACAAGTGAAAAGCTTGAGATTGTACATACAAATGTATGTGGACCAATGCAGCATCAATCCATTAATGGAAGCCGATACGTTTTGCTATTTTTAGATGACTATACTCACATGTGTTGGGTATATTTCATGAAGCAAAAATCAGAGACCTTCTCATTGTTCAAAAAGTTCAAAGCAATGGTGGAGAAGCAATCAGGTTGTACCATCAAGACATTGAGGTCAGATGGTGGTGGTGAGTTCACTTCACATGAATTCAACTGGTTTTATGAAGAAGAAGGAATCAACAAGCAAGTTACCTTGCCTTATTCACCACAACAAAATGGTGCAGCAAAGCGGATGAATAGGACCTTTGTAGAGATGGCTAGAACTAGGTTGGCAGAACAAGATTTACCACTCAAGTTATGGGCAGAAGCGGTATACACTGCCTCATACCTTCAAAATCGTTTACCATCAAAGGCAATAGAAGATGATGTCACTCCTATAGAGAAGTGGTGTGAACACAAGCCAGATGTTTCACACATGAGAATGTTTGGTAGCATATGTTACATGTTCCGGATCAAAAGAGAAGGAAGTTAGATGTCAAGGCAAAGCATGGAGTCTTTATTGGATATAGCAATCAATCCAAAGGATATAGAGTTCTCACCCTGGAGAATGAGAATATTGAAGTACCAAGAGATGTAAAGTTTGAAGAAAGCAAGAAGTGGGATTGGAAAAGGCTAGAAGAAGTCAAGAAGACATTGTAGATGTCTATGGAAGACTCTCAATCGTCTAACGAGTTATCTATGGAAGACGATCAATCGCCTGAGGAACAAACACAAACCAAAGGTATTTCCAGCCCTGTTTTCATTCAAAATAATGATCCTGATACTAGTGATGAAGATGATGAAGATTCTGAACCACCAAAGAAGTTTAAATCCATAGTTGAGATCATGGAAAAGGCACCAAGAGTAGAGTTTGAAGAGGCAGCTCAAGCAATAGAATCTTGTCTTCATGAAAATGAAGAAACATACACTTATGATGAAGCGTGTGGTACAAAGGAATGAAGGAAGGCGATGGATGAAGAAATCGCCATGATTGAGAAGAACAAGACATGAGAACTAGTAGACAAGCCAGAGAAGAAGAATGTGATAAGTGTGAAGTGGATCTATAAGATCAAGACCGATGCAAGTGGCAATCACATCAAGAACAAGGCGTGACTAGTAGCAAGAGGATTCTCTCAATCATATGGTGTTGACAACCTTGAGACGTTTTCCCCTGTCTAAAGACATGATACAATAAGAGCCATACTTGCATATGCAGCTCAGATGAAGTGGTGTTTGTATCAGATGGATTTGAAGTCAACATTTCTAAATGGGGAGCTGAAGGAAGATGTTTATGTGACACAACCACCTGGATATGTGAAGCAAGGAAAGAAAGAAAATGTGTTAAGGCTACACAAGATTTTATATGGTTTAAAGCAAGTCTCAAGGGCATGGTATGGAAGGATAGATTCATATTTTCTTCAAAATGGGTTTGAAAGAAGTATGAATGATGCAGCTTTATACATCAAGAAGCAAGGAGGAGATGTGTTGATCGTAAGTCTATATGTGGCTGATATAATCATCACTGGAAACAATGTTAAGATCATCAACACATTCAAAGAGAATATGAAGAAAGAGTTCGAGATGATGGATCTTGGATTGCTGAACTATTTCCTTGGAACAGAAGTAATTCAAGATAATGGAGGCATATTTCTTTCACAAAAAAGTATGTAAACAAACTTGTTGATAAGTTTGGGATGCGCCACAACAAGATTGTAAGCACTCCACTTACACCACAAAAGAAAGGAGTTGATGAGGATGACAAAGAGTATGGAGATCCGACTAAGTATAGAAGCATTATTGGAGGGTTTCTGTACTTATGTTCATCAAGACCTGATGTGATGTATGCAAGCGCCTATCTCTCAAAATACATGTCATCACCTCGCATGAAACACTACCAAGAAGCCAAAAGAGTGTTAAGATATGTCAAAGGAACATCACATTTTGAAGTGTTCTTTACAAGTGTGAAGGAACCACGACTTATAGGCTACTCGGATAGCAATTGGGGTGGTTCTAAAGAAGACAAGAAAAGCACTTCAAGTTATGTGTTTACTCTTGGTTCAGCTATGTTTTGTTGGCAGTCAAACACAGTGGCACAATCAACAAATGAGGCAAAGTACATAACCGTATGTGCAGCAGCAAATCAAGTCGTGTGGTTACAAAGACTATTTGAAGATTTTGGTCAGAAGTTTGAAGGAGCCATTCCGATCTTATGTGACAACAAATCAGCAATAGTAATCGGAAAGAATCCGGTCCAACACAGAAAGACGAAACACATAAAGATCAAGTATCATTTTGTGAGGGAAGTTCAGCAAAAAGAAATCATTGAACTGGAATATTGCAAGGGGGATGATCAAGTCGCAGACATTCTCACAAAGGCATTGGGCAGTTCAAGGTTTGAAAACCTCAGGAAATAGCTTAGAGTGAAGTCGAGATATGATTAAGGAGGAGTGTTAAATTATATAATCAAATCTCTATTTGGTACATTTAAATTAGTTAGGTATTATACAAAGAGTTGTGACTCTTTTGTCTCTTTTAGAATGAAAAGGTGTGTATGTACAATTAATAGTTATATCTTTATAATTAAGAATTGTGTCTTTACAACAAAGAGTTGTGTTGTTTCAACACACCTGTTCATTCTCTATAAATATAGATCAAGTCTTGTCTCAGAAAATAATTCAACAATTGAATATATAATACAATAAAAGTGATACTCTGTTTTTTCTTTCATAAAACAGAACAAGTTAATTATATTCATTTTTTTCCTTATAACTAGGTATTTTGCCCGCACATGCGAGCATAATTTTCGTACAATTTATTAGTAGTCTATATTTTTATTAATTCAAGCCAATATAATAAGTTATGATTTATGTTTTAAAATTAATTATAAATGACAATAAGAAAATATTTTTAAAAATATATTTTACAAATGTGTTGCTTTAATTTATTTTAATTATAATTTTTTATATTTTATTTTTTTATTTCTATAAGAAAAAATATATTTTCAAGATAACAATATAATACATAAGAAGTATCTTATTTTCTCAAAATATAATTTTTAATAGAAATTCGTTTTTATTTTATATGAAATTATTAAAAATATGACAAATAATCAAAATTATCTAAATCATAGAGAAATTACAAATCAGATAATTCACTTAAATTTTCTAATAGAAAATATATGTTTAAGATAACAGTCTGATACATAAGAATTATCTTATTTTTTTAAAAAATCTCGTATCATTATATACATTCGTTTTATTATTTAATAAATATAAGGAATCGCGGGAGAAAAGATTTTCCGGTGACGGTGCTGAACATTACACAACTCTCAGGTTATAGAAAAGACGCACACACATCGATATATAAGAAGCAATGGAGCCCGTTGACGAAAGAGCAGCTAGCTAATCCGGTTAGTTACTCAGACTGTGTACATTGGTGCTTGCCTGGTCTTCAAGATATTTGGAACGAACTTCTCCCGTTCAATAATCTATACTATTAAAGGTGAAGTACAAAAATTTAGTGTTTGGAAACATGAATAAAAAATACTTAAAATTCTGTTTGGAAACATGGATAACATACAAATCTAAAATTTTACTCTTTTGCAAATCAAAATATGCTAACCATCTGATCATATTTGGGAATCAGAATATACCTTTCCATCGTCATTATACCTAAAAGTTAGGACCAATATAAACCACCCTTCACCTCTTACCAATAAATAGTCTTCTATCATCCTAACATTTCTCTACGCCTAACAATAAAAAAAAGACTACTATGGCTATTGTTACAAACGACAAAATCAGTTTTTTAAAAGATGTCAAGCCATTTAAGATTTCTTGGAAGGTTGAAGTCAAAGTTCTTCGGTCGTGGACACTTCACTCAAATAATTCTGGAGAAGACACTTTCAAGTTCATACTCGAAGATAAAATGATATGTCTTGCTTTTTAAGCTATTTTTAAAAAATCTTTTAGTGCCAACGACTAAACTAATGTATGATTATTTATTATTGTAGGGATGCAAGATACATACCAATGTATGTACTTGTGTTTTAAATGTATTTTGAATAAATCAAAAATAATATATATCTTATTGTTAAAAATTCTTACAGACATATACTAGCCTCCTAATTCTTCACTAAAATATTAACTCAGAAATTTGAGCTGAATTATTTAGTGAATATAGCTTTGCACCAAATTGAAGCTAAAAAAACTTTATAAACTATTACTAAAATATTTACGGCTCACAACAATTTCATCGACACCCCTTTTTTTCTTTTACTTAAAGGCATTCAATATCCCTGTTACACAATACAGTGAAAAATACAATGTTTAAACAATGTACTTAAGTATTAAAATTGGAATTCATCAATTGAATTGTAATTTTGTATTGTTTATATACACAATAAAACAAAGTCCCGCCCAATCGGGCGGGTTATGATCTAGTTTTGCTTATTTGTCCTATTTTTAATAATTTCATATATAATAAAAGAAAAATTTTATTAATAATATTATCGTTTAAGAAAATAAGATATTCCCTCAGTTTCAAATTATATGATGTTTAGATTTTAAGGTCTATTTTGAGGTTTTAAGGTTTCTTTCAAAATATAAGATGTTTTGAGATTTTAAAGTTAACTTTAACTTTATTGGAAACTGTTCAACCAATAAAATTTTACAGTCTTTTTATAATTAGTTGAATGATTATAAATTATATCTTTAAAAGTATGTAAATTTCTTGATTTGTGTGCATTAGCCTAAAACATCATATATTAAAAAAACAGATGGAGTACTTCTGATTTCTTATATTGTTATCTTGAAAATATTTATCTATTATAGAAACAAAAAGTTAAGTTATAAAAAATTATACTTAATATAAATCAAGCAAAACATTTGTATGAATATATTTTTAAAACTAGGTGTTTTGCCCGCATTTGCGGACATAATTATGAATATTTATGAGTTGATATTTTATTAATTTAAAAATCAGCATAATAAGTTTATACAAATATTTTACTTAATTTATAATTATAATTTGTTATATCTTAATTTTAAATTTTGTAATAGAAAATATATTTTCAAGATAACAATATATTCCATAAGTTATTTATTTTCTAAAAATATAATATGATAAATTTGTTTTAATTATATAATAATAATAATATAAGATTATAGAAATTATAACATATAATTAAAATTACCTAAAATCATGGAGAACTTAATGAGTCAGCAAATTCACTTCTTAAATATTTTTTTCTTGAGTGAAGATTTATATTTAATTAATAATAGATAATTTTCTATTTTGTTTTTAAATTATATAATACAAAATTATAGTTTCAAGATAACAACATAATACATAAGAGTTACCTTATTTTCTAAAAGTATAATATTATTAGTGTCAATTTATTTCAATTATAGAATAACTACAACTTTTAATATCTTAATTTAAAATTTTTAATAGAAAATTATATTTTAAAGACAGCGACTTAATATATAAGAAGTATCTTATTTTCTAAAAATCTAATACTATTAATATAATTTTTTAAAAATATATATTAAATTATATATAAAAATATAGAATTATGATAAATTATCATAATTAACTAAAATTATGGAAAATATGAAAAATCATAAAACATCAAATTCACTTCTTAAATAAATTATAGATTTTTACATTTTAATTTTAAATTTTATAATAGAAAAATATTTTTTCATGATAACATCATAATACATAAGAATTAAGTTATTTTCTAAAATATCATATTATTAATATAATTTAGTTTTAATTATATAATCAATAATAAACAAAATTATAGCAATTCTAATAAATGATTAAAATTACCTAGGACCATGGAGACAAATCAACAAATTCACTTTTCAAATAATTGTTCGATGATTTATATTTAACTATTAATAATATAATTTTTATATCTTAATTTTAAGTTTTATAATAGGAAAATAGATTTTCAACATAACAACATAATACATAATAATTATCTTATTTTAGAAAATATTAAATTATTAATATAAATTCGTTTTAGTTATATTTAAATATTAAATTATTAATATAAATTCGTTTTAGATAAACATAATAGTGTTTATATCTTAATTTAAAATTTAAGTTTTATATAGAAAAATATATTTTAAAATAACAACATAATTCACAAGAAATATCTTATTTACTAAAAATATGATATATTCATAGAAATTCGTTTTATTTATAAATAAAATATATATAAATATGAAAATATGATATATAAACAAAATTACCTAAACTCATGGAGAACATGACAACTAAGCAAATTTACTTCTTAAATAATAGTATAGATTCTGCTGTGTAAAGGTTGTCATTTATAATTAATTTTTAAAACATAAATCATCACTTATTAAATTGTTTTAAATTAATAAAATATAAACTAATAAGTATTCGTAAAATATATGTCAGCGTGTGCAGGCAAAACACCTAGTATATAAATAAGACATTAGTTGTAGTGGACTTTTTTACATTTATAAGGGTAAAAACTAAAAAGAATAATGAGTTACAGATGTTCTAAATAGGGGGAGGGACCAAACCAACCGAACCCAAATCAAACTAATTATGATTTATTTTGGTTGAAAACAATTTATAACCGAATTAACTAAACCGAACTGAATCCAAATCGAATTTATAAAATAACTGGTGTCATTCCTACTATCTATAATATTAATAATAGACTCAAAGATAATAAACCAAACCAAACCCAATACAAACTCAACTAAACTAACTTCAACTAAACTAACTTCGGTTGATTTCAATTGAAATTTTCTCAGACCCAAATAAAATAAACTGAACTGAATCCAAACCGAAACCGAATTTAAATCGAAATGCTCACCCCTATTTCTAAACACAATTATACAAGAAAATATAGATATGAGTTTAAAACGCAACAAAACGTGAAATAGTTATTTTCAAATAATTGTAGAAAAACCTGCGCATATAATCTTCCACCTAAGTTAAAATAAAGAGAAAACCATAGAAGATAATAAAATAACAAATAAATAAATTCATAAACAAACCAACTGAGTTCACATATTCATAACCGATTAGATAGAAAACATGGACGCAATAATATAGATATGTTCTCTTATTCTGATGGAGATAGAACGTGCGTGACACTGTCCTACAAATCAGGAACATGAAGCCGATCACCACTTAATTATTTGCAGATAATATGAGATTAAAATGAGAGTACCATAACATAGAAATAGAAGACGTAGTAGTGTTCATAACGTGGATTTTGCTCTCTCACACGGGAAGTGTCTTGCCACCGCTAAAATCGGTCTCAAACAACTTTAGAGAAATTCTGCAACATGAATATCATGTCAGGAGTCAGATCGGTTTAGTATAATAACAAAATATAACTAAATCGTAGATCTGACCTCTATTATTCTTTTTCTATTATAAAAACACCCTTCAGAGCAGATGTATCTGATTTCCGGATAAGAAAACTTCAGAAAGAAAGGGCCTCTACATCGAGATTGACAACAGGCACAGAACGGTCGAAAACAGTGGTTGTTAGGAACCACTTCAAATTTGCAGTACCGACTGGATTCCATTAAGCGTCTTGGCATGAGAAAAGAGAAATCTCCAAAAACACACTGGACATGCAATGTAACCCCAGAATGAGAGCAAGTGTAGAACCATTCTTTCGGATTTGTTTTACCCTCACAAATATCACACCAGTATTTACCCTTTGGATCTTCTTCGCCATAACATAAGGAAAGAGGAGGCTCGTCGTCTTTATACTTCACCACCCTTGGCAAATTAAAGCATCGGAAATCAGCCGTAAAGTCACAATCATCACAAGTGAGCATATGTGGTGACAAATCTGTTTGGCATGCACCACACCTCGGATACATTATATCATAACCATAATATAAAGGGTGGTCAAGGAAATCATAGAATTCCAGTTCAGAAAACGTACCGCAACGTACATCTATATTGATTCCATTTGTTACGTACCTAAAACCGCTAAACATTGTTTTACAGGCGTAACACTGAAAAGCTTCGTAGGAATCCATGTCGGGAGCATATAGTTTGAACTGTATGTTGCGAAACGGAAGTCGTTTTTTCAATGGAAGATTTGCGCATGTCTCGTGGAGGATGAAATCACATTCCTCACAGCTGTATACCGGATCAGAATAGACGGGAGAGACGCATGCTTCGCATCGTGTTTTTTCATCATGAGTACTTGTACCATCACTCTCTAGTCGAAGAATATGATTTTGGTGGCTGAAGTGCTTTATCAAGTTATCACCCACCACATTGAATGGAGGAATAACTTCTTCTTCAGGGATCCCTTCCAGCTCGACTCCATTCCACACAGTGGGGCAAGTATAACCTCCGTATTTTATTGGGCATGATGAATGAACAACAAAATCAGGACAAGTGGGGCAAGTATAACCTCCGCAGTACTGATCAACACTTTGGTGACAGACTCCACACCTCAGATTCCCCCCGTGCCCAATATGATCAGTGAGAGAGATGCGGTGATCGTGGCGGTTGATGTTTATGACGCGAGGCAAGTCGATGCACTCTCGATGAACTAAGAAACTGCACTGAATACATGCATAAGGACTTCGATCGCCTTGCAACCCACAGACATTACAAGTAAACGAGACTCGTCTTGACAAGAGGGAGAGCTTATGCTTGTGGGTCTTGGTATGTTCGACAGTGAGTGGTGGAGGATTCCTCTTGCAGTAAATACATATGCTGAAGTTGCATTTGGAACAATGATAAAGCACATGTTGTGATTCTTTTCCACACAAAATGCATGTCTTCTCAGCGTTTTCTGAAAGTGATTCAGATGTGACAAACTCAAGAATATGACTAGAATGAGACGAATGGTTTACCTCTCTTGACTGATTGACGCAGTCCAAGTGAAAATGAACATCTTTGCAAGTAAGGCATTCATAGGCACATCCTTCATTAGTATAAACCTTGCATATTTCACAACTTTTAAAGCCATTTGTGCAGACAAGTGAATGCTCATGGAACATCGGATGCTCAATAGCTTGAGGTGGCGGTGGTTTTTGTGCACAAGCCACATCTATGAAAAAATCGCATATCGCACAACAATAACCACTTTTGACTGCCTTTCCGCACATATGACACGGTTTGTAATCTATCCCCACGGTGAAAACAAGAAGATGTTGAGGGTGAGAAGGATGGTTGATTTCCGATGGTGACTCGCCACACTCCTTATGGAACCAACCACCAGTACCAGGGAAACCATTATTGTAACAATCAGATTCATTGCAACGATAGCCTCCATAGATGTGACCTTCTAAAAAACAACCGTCGCAACGAGCATAGAGAAATCGAGTTGAAGGGTACAAAAGATGTTTGTGAATTGGTAGTTTTAGTGCTGATGCCTCCATGGTTGGATCGATTTGTTTGAATCAAAAGGGGATTTTTTTTCTTTTTTCTTTTTGGTTTTTGGCTTTCTATCTTTTCAACGGCACTATAATGGAGGCGGTGATTTCTGATTTGACCTAGAGCATCGAACCTCTCTGATACTGTAATCCCATTATAGAATGTACTCTATTAAAATAGAGTATTCTTTTTATCTACTGATACAAGTTGTTATTTAAATTTGGACCCTTTCTAGAATGTTATAAATAATATAAGTCATATAATTGATTGAACCGTATTACTTAAATTAAACCAACACAATTAATGTAAAGAGACGATCTTAATGTAAACTACCTTCAAAATACGACAGACATCTATGTGTATACCGAAAACACATATTTTCTCCTACAAATATGGAATGTTCTTATCTCTATAATATTATTTGAGAAGTCAGTTTTCTACGTGTCGCGCTCACGTTAACTCTCACGATGGTTGATTACATAGATACCCTTAATGATTTGTTAGATTTTAAGATTATTATTTTTATTTATTTTTTTTTACCTTTTTCCAAATAACATATACAATAAAAAGGAAATATTTTAAAATTTTAAAACAAATTTTAAAAACGAAAATATATGTATATAATATGACTTTATTAAAACGGAAAGTTCACAAAACAGCAATACCCCATTAATATATATTTTAAAATAACATAAAATATATTTTCAAAATAATAAAAATATATATGTTCATGAACATCCAAAAACTTATCAGTTGCACTTTATTTTCTAATATTATTTAGAAATCAACATATAATTTGATAAATATTATGAAAATACATGTATATTTAAGCGATAACTAAAACTAATTATTGACTTAACTAAAATAATTAGTAATAAATATTATGAAAATACATGTATATTTAAGCTATAAATAAAACTAATTTGATTTGACTTAACTAAAATAAAAAGTAATTATTCTTCAATTTTAATTTACAAATATATTATATTCAATATACTCACAAAATGAATGACTCGGCTAATCTAATTTATATTCAAAATTAATCAACTAACTACAATAAGAACATATAATTTTATAATAATAATAATAATAATATTAATAATCTATTTGGCTTTATACATATAAACTAGAGATTGACCCAAAGCATATTAAAAAGAAAAAGAAAATACTAACCAATTACAATTTAATTCTTTTTAGAATTTATATATATGCATGCGACTTCAAAATATTATCACTATATTCATTTATGTAATTTTGATTTAAACACTTCAGCTTATTATTTATTTCATTTTAAGCACAATATATATATATATATTAAGTTATACATAATTCAACTATAATATATTTACATATCTAAGAATATATTTACATATATAAAGAAAATAACCATCTGAAATGAAAATAAGAAAATTAATCAAAGTTTTATTATATTTAGAATAAAAATATTATAGCTGAATTCAAAAAATAAATATTATCTAATATACCAAATTGATAACCAAACCGACTATTGATAAAAAAAATAATTAAACCGGTAATAATATATCCAAAGTCATATGTATAATTAGAATAATATAATATTTATTAATATAAATTATACATATAAATTGATTAAAAACTAAAACTACATACCAATCAATTATTTATTTCTTTTAAGCACAATATATATTAAGTTATACACAATTTAACTATCATATATTTACATATCTAAGAATATAGTTACATATCTAAAGACAATAACCAACCGAAATGAAAATAAAGAAATTAATCAAAGTTTTATTATATTTAGAATAAAAGATATTATAGCTGAATTCGAAAAATAGATATTATCCAATATACTAAATTGATAACCAAACCAACTATTGATCCGAAAAATAATTACACCGACAATAATATATCCAAAGTCATATGTATAATTAGAATAATATAATACTTATTAATATAAATTATACATATTAATTGATTCAAAACTAAAACTAAAACTAAATACCAATCAATTATTATAAAATTTTACTTTTATGAATATTCATATCCGTGCATGAGCACGGGAAAATCACCTAATCTATAACATTATTTGAGAAGTAAATTTGCTTAGTTGTCAACTGCTCCTTGATTTTAGGTAAATTTGTTTATTTATCTTATTTAAATAATTTCATATACAATTTATTATTTAATAAAAACGAATTTTTATTAATAATATTATACTTTTTAGAAAATAAGATATTTCTTATGTATTATATTGTTATCTTTAAAATATATTTTTTATCATAGAAATTAAAAATTAAGTTAAAACATTGATAGTTAAATATAAAGAAAGCAATGCTGATTTATCAACTTCTCCATGGTTTTATACTTTGCATATTTATCATATTTTAATAATTTCATATATAATTTATTATCTATAATATTATATAAGAAGTAATTTTGCTTAGTTGTCAACTGCTCATTGATTTTAGGTAAATTTTTTTATTTATTTTATTTAAATAATTTCATATACAATTTATTATTTAATAAAAATGAATTTTATTAATAATATTATACTTTTAGAAAATAAGATAATTCTTATGTATTATATTGTTATCTTGAAAATATATTTTTATCATAGAAATTAAAAATTAAGTTAAAACATTGATAGTTAAATATAAAGAAATCAAATTTACTTCTTATATAATAGTATAAATTGTAAACACTCAAAGAATCAACAGTCTGTCTCGAACGATGCAGAGGTATCTAGTTCTACATCTCAGCATTATAGTCTTGTAGTGATACATATATGACTCGATATTAGGTTTTAACTACTTAATGTTGCTTTTCGCAGGTATTACTGTGGTTACTGTTATACTTATCTCACCCACGACTCTGTAAGTCTTTGTTTCTCTACTTGTGTGTCGGTGTCTTTGATGAACTTAAGTTTAGTTGTATACTTGTATTGAATCTGATCTCTTGCGGTCTCACTTAGTTTGCGATTTAAAGCATGATGTTTTTGTGTTGTTATCATCTATCATGTGTCACCTTGCATGATGTTTTTGAGTTGTTATCATCTCTTATGTGTCACCTTGGTCTCTTATTACTCATGTATTTATTTTTCTCTTTTTATCTCAGTGAGGAAACAGCACAATGCTGCCATGCTGGTTACAAACACAAGGTTACATAAAGAGTGCAGAATGTTTTTTATGTTTTGTTCTGGTGTATCTAAGACCTTTTGTTTAAGTTAAGAGTTTTTGATGTTCTTCAGGCGAATGTGAGAGTATACTCTCAGCAATTTGAGGAACAGCAAACCCAAAGTCTGATTGATCAGAGAAATTAAAGAGCATCTTGGCCAAGCTGCAGCGTACCAACAAGTTGGGGGTGCGTTTAACCAGCATATGCTCGCTAGACCTCGCCTTCCTATGATGCCGATGCCTATGGGGATGCAACCTCCTGTCTTGCCTAGACCCATGATGCCCGGTCAAGGTAAACTTCTGTTACTAAATTATAACCCGCTTGGTTGGTGCACGGATTTACACTTGATCATTCTAAGAAATGGTCAAACATCAACAACTGTACTTTATACATATAGATGGTTCAGTTGTTTAGTTGACATGTAATTACATGCCTCCTCCGGGAGTACCACAGATGATGGCACCGCCTGGTGCTCCTCTACCACCACCACCTCCACAAAACGGTATTCTTAGGCCTCACCAGGATTGGCTCCAATACCAGGTCAAGGTGGTGCACCACCTCCCAATTACGATGGACTTCCTCCTCCGCCTCCTTATCATACAAATCCAGCTGCTGCTGCTCTACCAAGTTGTGGCTTCAACAATCTGAATCCTGGTGCTGGATCTCCTGAAAGCAATGAGTAGAGTTTAGGTCTGATGAGTTCTTTTTCTCGTGCCAAAAAATTGTCAGAGCTCTTGTTTAACACAGTTTCTTTGACCTTTTCTAATCTAATCTATGTGAAGAAGTTTAGATGTAATGTTTGTGAATTACATAATTTTATGTACTAGATTCTTATTTCCATAGAATGATGAAAGGTCTCTTAGAACAAACAGACAGGTTAATAAAAGATATTGATAAAATGACTTCATTGTCGCACCAACCAGTAGATTGTGTTGCTGCAAAATTTGTGTTTCTTTGGTTCCTTTTAAAAGATACAATGCCTGCAGCAACACAGAAACAAAGAGTTCAAGGAGTTTGGTTGCATGTAATCGTAGTCACACAAACTAGGATTATAAAATTCTGAATGTGGCGACCTGTGATATATAAGAAGAGTCAAACCTGGCATAATCCAGTTTCTGAATCACGATTCCATTCAGCAAAAGCTCTGAGGTGTAAATATCAGCTCCTACATTGCAAACACAAGTTCAATGTGTTTTTTTTTTCTCTTTCTTTCTAAGCGTAAGTTCATAGTCTTAAATTAACAGGGGTTACCTTGCTTAATGAAAGGGAGGCATAAATCTCTATCTTCTTCGCAAGAAAGAATCAGTAGATCATCTGGAATTTCTCTAGCAATTATTTCACTTATCTCGACTACCTGATAAAGGAACTCATAACTATTCTGAAGAAGTGCCAAGGTGTCTGTCTATAAAACAAAATCTCACTCGTGGAAGTGAGTTGTTCTTACCTTCCCTTGAGTCAACTTCACTAACTGAACAATCATACCTCTGTCCGGTTTAATGTTGGGAGTGATGCAGACTTTTAATCCCTATGAATAGATGTAACTTATAAATTTCGACTGATTGTGAACAACTGGTGTTAATGAAGCTCTGAAGATAAAGGTTCAACTGAGATAGATTGTGACCTTAAGTAGGGGACGCTGCTTTGCACGGGCCAAGGATGTTAGCAAACAGAACCCGTCTTTCTCCGTTTTGCTATCCCTTAAGATGTAATTCTTCTCATCTAACAAGCATCTTGTTTGTCCACAGCTCTCCAGCCATAGAGGTGTTACAACAGGTTTACCAAGGGCTATGGCTTCCAACATATTCCTTGTCCGAGAAAACCTTTCAGCTATGAAGTGTGTTGATTCGGCCGAGGAAGCTGCCGGAGAAATTCCCAGTCGGACCATAATCTATGGAAGAAGAAATGGAATTCTTGGTAACTAAAATTGTATACTTACTCTGTCAAATATGATAAAAAGTGAGGACTATGAATTAAACCTTTATCTGCTGCTTGATTGTTTCATCATCCAAGTTATTGCTGAATAAGACTCGAACATGTGCCAAGTTTCTTCGCCTCCTCAAGTCTTTCCACATGAAGTCACCTACCTTTTCTGATCCTCCAAGCCTTTTAATCTCCTTCCGAAGAAATGGCCTAGGCAAATCTTTATCACAAGAGCTTCTATGACTTCTGCCATATATTTTCATTGGAGATGCATGGTTTGCAACATCCAAATTGACACCTGATTGGCAAGAAGACGTTTGTCTTGTCCCACTTAATGATACTACTAACCTACCTGACAGAGTGTTGGTTTCGCTTCTGTCTTTAGCTGAGCTAGCACCCCAAGATTTCCTAGGTGGAACGTGATGCGTTTGAATAAGACGTGATCTTTTGGCCCTGGGATGCCTCCATTCACATAAGTTTAGAAGACATGTTATAGAAGATGCGTTTGTACCGGTTTTTTCTTTCAAAGTAAATTTCCTCTTCTTCTTAGAGTTTCTCTTCTTGTTTGGAGCACTACCCTTAATGGTATTATCATTCCTTCCAGAGAGATTACTGACTTGATCCCTCATTTCTGATTCACTAGCTACTTCTATAGTGCAGGGAGCAAACAGTAAAGCACTCATTGCTTCAGCAGCAATCTGAGTGTTAATACCAACATCAACAAAATCTTCCTCAGGTTCAGAATGCTCCTTTGACGCTTTATCCTGCAACTGAGCATCTATCTGCGAGATTAACATAATGCCCTGACTCAAACCTGATGCTTGTTCCATCTTGTTATGCTCAGCAGAATTGCCCTGTCTAAATCTTTTTGTGGGATGAGTTGAGACTTTTTTATTCTCACACGGATCATCATCTTTAACAGGATCTTCCCTTTTCTTTGCACCAATGACTTGAGATTTTTGAGGGCCACTCACATCACACTGATCTTCACAATCCCAATCAAAGACACTCATTTTCTTAACTGGACTCATGGTCTTGATTCTTTTGGCCAGAGACTGACGTCCTTTTGCACCTGAGAAAGGAGGCGACTTCCTTCTCACACTAGCTTCCGGGAGACTCACCGGTGAGAAATCCAGATCTTTATCCATCAAAAACTGGTCCACAAAACCAAGCGCTTCCGCTTGTGTTGCATCTCCCGGTTCCTGAGAATCCAAATAATCCAGCCCTTGACCATGACTATCATCATCATCAGCAGTAATCCTCGAAGAAGAGCCTTGGAAACCAGTAGTAACGACATCACAGTTTGATTCTTGTTTTCCTATACAATAATGAGATAAGAGGATCATATATGAATCAGTAAACAACAATACAAAGATATCTTTACCTATCTGACATTCTTGATCATTAGCTCCATCAGACTCCAAAAGTGTATCAGAAACTTTGAGGCTTCTCTCCAGCACAAATACTTTTCCTCCTCCTTCATCCTCACTATCATCCACCACTTGATCAAAACCGCCAAATTCGAGGTCAAGTGTTTCTTCGTTATCTACGAGCTCCGTATCGTTGTAGAGACTTTGAAATGGGATTTCATCATCATCATTATCATCAATCGGCTCTGTATCGTGATTCTCATTAACCTCAAACCCTAAGAAAATTCGAAAAAAGGGAAAGTTTATTCACCAGTCAAATTGAATCTATCACTTCAAAGCTACAGTTATCTAGACTTCACAGTTCGAAAATCGTAAGGCGATTAGAAGATAAAATCGTTCGATAATCGCAAATACTCACTATGATCGGAAGATGACGAAGGAGACTTCGAATCGGAGGGGAAAGCTTCAGCGTCGCAATGATTTTCCATCGAAAGCTCGAATTTCAAGAAATCGAATCGCTAGAAGGGGATAGAGACTGAGAAGAAGCCCTAGAGAGGCTCCATTGGGCGGGAAAGAGACGAGCCGAGAGCTAATGTCGATGGTTTTGAAAAACAATTATAAAAATGATATATATTACTATGCAACAAGATTAACAAGAAGGGCGTTTGGTCTAGTGGTATGATTCTCGCTTAGGGTGCGAGAGGTCCCGAGTTCAATTCTCGGAACGCCCCACTTTTTATTTCGTCTTTTTATTTCGTCTATTTATTTTTCTTCTCTTTTGTCTTGTTCACCATATCTTTATTATTCTCTTCAGCTATATTGTTCTTCCTTTTAATCTTCTTCAGGTATATTGCAGAAGGATTAAACACGTTTTATATATGCCTTCTAGAAGGAAACAAAACTACTTATTCGACACATCATAAATCTCGTTTTTTTTTCTTTTCTTGGTATGAAAATTGGCCAAGAATTTTACAATATATAATATTTTGATATATTATGTATCTAATATGGTTCCACCTAATTACAGTTTATAAGCAAAATAGCATATGTAGGAATCCTACAGTTTGCTTTTCTTTCCCCTTCCTCTAGTTTCTTTTTTTCAGCCCATGCGATGTATCTAGCTAAGTGTTCCACCTAATAAATGAATTTTTAATAAGGTAGTTTACATACAGTTTGCAAAATCCCTTATATATTAAAAGAGAAGCATTTTGCATTAAATGTTTTCACACCACCTTCTCACAAGTTATTATCTTATTACCTTATTTACAACCTTCTCACAATTTATTACCTTATTTAAAACACACGAGACACTTTAAAACTACAAAGTTCAATATCGCGTGAGACAAGTTCGGAGGCAAGTGAATTGGCTTACGACAAACACTATGACGAGAATACTTACGACAAACACTATGACGAGAATTAGTTTGTATTATATATTTGTTTATACACTTGTAAAAAACTCAGGATGAGAGAAGGCCATAAACCATAAGTCGTTTAAAACCCAGAGACTAACTCGATGTCTCTTACACGTAGAGGTTCAGGAAACAAGGAAATTTTAGGTATATATTTGCTTATACACTTGATACAAGTCAAACGATGAGAAGCGAAGATGCCAGGTTATGAGAATCTAATGATCTAACTGGATTGTGATTATAGAAGCCAACTATATATTCAGAAGAAAAGATGTTCACATGTTGACTTCATAAAAGAAAAATCGATGAGAAGCATCGATGTGTTCATACCGGTTGCATGATGTGATATTTTAGTCATCTGAAACCTTCTTCTTACATCCAATACGCATAGGTTGAGGTTAAGGGAGGTGAAGTTGCACGTACGAGGGTCGTGTACTTGAACGTACAGTTAAGAATCTTAGAGCTGATGATGAAGAACAACTCTCTGTAGCCTTTGCTGAGTTTGAAGAACGTTGCAAGAAAGTGGAACGTGTTAGGGCTATCTACAAGTTTGTAGACATCGTGTCGGAAGAGGAGATGAGCTGTACAAAAATTTTGTTGCGTTTGAGAACAGTATGGAGACAAGGAAGTGATAAGAATCTTAGAGACGATGAAGAACAAGTCTCTGTAGCCTTTGTTGAGTTTGCAGAACATTGCAATGAAGTGGAACGTGTTAGGGTTATCTCCTGAATGTTAGAGAAGACTCGAATCCATTCATAAAATAAGCAACTTCTTAATAAGGAAGGTCGTAGTTCACTAAAACCATTACTTTGAATTGCCGTCTTACAAATTACATAAACTTGGAATGCAAGAATTTATATTAGCTTTGTATGTATGTATGTACGTTTTCTCATGAAGTGATATTGAGAAGAACCAATTGTTTACACGAAAATTACGATGTGATATATTGGTTTAGCATATTAAACAGGCATTAATAAAGAGTACACAACCAAATTAAATTAAAACCCGAATTAAACAGCTTCATTTGGGTTTTGTCGAGATTTAGTTTTTGTGACTTTTCGGCAAGGTATAATAATGATAGTATATAGCATTAATTTCACATTTTTATCTCATGGTAATATATATATATATATATATCTTAGAGTTATTGGCAAGGTAAAATATATGGTATTTATTTCGACATAACAAGAGATCTAGCGTGCATTGGATTAGGTTTAGTAAAGGTATATAAGACTCCTTTCTCTCATTCATATAACTCATTCCATACACTCCAAACCTTAGAAATTTATCTCATTCTATCATAATGGCTGCGATAACTCCTCTGTGTGATTTGAAATCATTCAGTCAATGTGGAAGGTTAGGGTGAAGATAATTTAGTGGAAACAGTAGTCTGTTGGTGGTGGCCTGTCAATTGAGATGGTTCTAATCGACTCCCATGTAAGAAAAATTGACTCTTTATAGTCCATAATTTAAATTTTCGTCTGTTTATTTATTTTGTTCTTTAAGGTTCAGGAACTTTTTAAATTTTTATAGGGTGTTAAGATCTACGCGTAAGTGAAAAATGATCTGGTGAATCAGTTTAATTCATTTCTTTCCCAAGGAAGTTCCAAGATTCCCATCAATTTTTCACTCAACTCCTCATGTGGTTCATACCAAACTACCATACATCCATACAAAATTGGATTTCTCTAGACAACGCGTGGTGTTGTGATGCTTTGCCCGATGAGCTAACTGGTTTCCAACCAGTCAATTACACATTTTTTATGGTACACTGAATACGAACTATTTGGTTGGTAAGTTATATAAGTTTTCTACTTCCATATATTTTTTAAAATACTTATATATTATGTTCATCAGATGTAATAAGTAAGATTGTGGAGGTGACCCAAATTCATGTTGTATCAGCTAATGGTGCAGAAAATAATAGTAGAACTTCGTAATGAAAAGTAATAACGTCTTTATATTTTCTGTCGTCTATACAAATAAACGTGATATGTTACTTGAGTTTTTAGTTTTCCTATGTTATTCTAGGGATGAACGTCTGCCGATGGCATTGTGTGGAGTCTTTGCTACTGATGTCAGTGAGGCTATTGAAAGACTCGGTGATAATGCAATAGTTTGAGTCTTGCATTTTGGGAAAATTAAAGTTTGGAAAGATATTTTATCCCATCCTTTAATATAGTACTTTATGTAAACCTCTAATGATTAGATTTATTGTACTTTCCTGTTAAATTTATTGTTTAGGTATACAATTTGATTTTCTTAAAATGTTTAAATAAACATTTAGTAATGACTAAGTCTATTTTATTTTTAATTAAGTTTATTTTTAGTATTATAAATTTCCTTTGTTATATTGAACAAACATTTTTAGCAATACTAATCATTAGAGGTTCAATATAACAAAGGAAATTTATATTGGAAATAATTAGATAGAATAACTTTGCTGAAATTCAATATAATAATTAGTTATTCTATCTAATTATTGATTGAAGTTCTTTTTATATAATGCCTATTTATATTTAGACCATTATTTGTTTTTGGAAGAATGAGATTATGCATCTTTATTATAATGGAATTGAGTTTATTTTATTTATATTAGATTTCTCATCTTCCTTAACATAGAGACTTACCATAGTGAGGGCCTCTCCAAAAACAAATTCGTAATTAATTATAGTCTTTGTATTATCACCATAAAATCAAAATCGCAATTTAACCAAAAAGACAATATTTATAATATAGATATATAATTAGACGATATTAAAACCCGAAACAACCAATCCAAAACAAAGTAATATGCAAATAAAACAGATATAATATCTTCTCATCTTCAAAAATACAACAATTTTAATCATCTCATCCCGCGCAAGGCGCGGGTCTAATCCTAGTATGTAGTATGCTGTAAAGAAGAGTTATATTTTATCCACACTTTAATTTTTGTTTATAATATATATTCACCTAGAAAACATCTGATTAGGTGGAACACAATTAGATAACAAATGGAAATTGGTCGTATGCAATCCAGCAGATCGATGTCTCTGGATAATAACATCATAATGTGAATAGCTTTCTGTCGGCATCTGAAGATGGTATTGGTAGGTACGTTGTATAAGTGAAATACGTAAAGATAATTCATTAACAGACAGCTCATAATAAGCACCCAACACATGCCACAAGCATCATCTATTTTTTTACGTCCTCGAAGATCTATTACAGGTAGACTTGCGACAATAAAAACTCATATTAATCAACTGATGATTTTTTAAAAATAAAACTAGATTTTGATCCGCACAATCGTGCATATGTTATTTTCAGTTTTAGATGCATATATATTTATTTTAGATCATTAGTAGTATACATTTTCATTTAATCATATATTTAAATATTTATATAATTATTCCAAATACAATAATTTATTGTTTACATGTTGTAAATAATTAATTGTTTAGAACAATCACATTTATGTATTACTTATTATTATATACTAATTTTATCTTATTGTATTTGAATTTAGTTATTAAACAAATTAATATCTTTATGAGAAAACATATTTAAAAATTATTCTGTATTTAAATTATGTTAAATTTTTATCCACCCTTCAAATAGGATTTCCTTTCAACTATATTTTTGAAATTTATTTATTTTACATAATATATTATTGTATATACAAAAGTGTAAGCTATGTTAACTTTTATACGGCTTATATAGTCTAATGTTAAGTCGTTCTGTCATCATATTATATTTATTTAACATAAATATTTTATATTTATGAAAATAAATTTATCAATTTATCAATTTAATACAATTTTATCTTCAATATAATAATTTTATTTAGCATGATTGATTATGATTATAAAATAGATAAAAGTAGGATACAGTTTTTATATTTAATCTTATAAAAAATACAACTGAATATATATATATATATATATATATATATATATATATATATATATATATATATATATATACGCACAATAGTTCATTGCTATAATTTGCTTTTAATATGAATGATTTTGATTATATAATAGATACAAATATGATAGAATATTTATTTTTCATTTTATAAACGATAACTG